ATTGCCGGAGAGTTCTTCGTCTTCTTGTAAGTGTTATTGAAGCGTTTGGCCTAGTAGATTGTATATCAGTATACCCTTCCAGGCTCTGAAGAAGGCGATACTGCCGAAACGTCAGCTAGCGTTGTATTGTATTGTGTTTTTATGGAAGTAAATCTATTGAGAAATTCACTTAGTTAGAAGCTGATAAAACATTTCAGTGAATGCCTATTGTTCTGCTTCGTTCTCCAAACCAATCCGCATACCCTTCGTACGTCGAGGTCGGTGCTATATTGCAAAGGAAGAAATTCCATTTAGAATGTCCAGAGAGAATAGCAGAAATAAAAACTTCTTATTTTCTAGAAAGACTTCCAATTCTGAAAAAAAATAGAGCGCCTTAGTTTCCAAGATCGACTTTCTATTGACCTCGGTATTAGACTATAAATCTATCGTTTTCTTTTCAGTAGTCACGAGGTTAATCGAGAAAACCCTGAGTTATTCGTTCGGTGAAATGCAGTACAAGTGAATTTCATGGAGCTTCTTATTGTTACAATAAGCTTTCCTCCAAATGATTCGCTCTTTCGGGCAGGTGAAATGCTAAGACACTTTTTCCGTTTTTGTTTTCTTGAAGATAATATGGAAAAAGCCAACACGATTAATTATGTGTCGACGTTTATTAAGTAGAAAACGATTTCTCAAGCGACGTGCAGGTCCCTCTAGCAACCCAATCGAGTGTGGCTGATTAGTCAACCGATGAAGACATATGATTCCTTTTTTTGTCATAGCCTAGATACGGTATGGATTTCGAATCTCGGTTTTTACAAGCTGGCGTTGTTTCCCTGCCGAAGAGTAATTTGTACGTGAAGGTCGTCTTGATCGCAAAAACCGCCTTTCCCTACTTTCGATAGTTTTCGTTCACGGTCAAGTGACTTCCGTTGAAGTTTCCCCATCGCTCAAATTGAACGCAAACCTCCTATTGCGAATAAAAAGCATTTCTATATTTCTATCAGTAGGAAAAATTTTGAAACTTTCTACTGGAAAATTTTGTGGGACTTTGCACTCCTTTCCAATATATTGTAGGTTTTCATGGATATTTATCCCATTATTTCTGAAGGTATTAAGCTTAAAAGCAGATATTTGTTACTTTTGCAAACTGTCTTAGAACTACAATGATGCTGAGATATTTACAAAACTCCGGACTGCGGGTGTCTGCGGTGGAGAACGAATGCGCTATTACCCGCATGGTGTGGTGGTGAACGCGTTAGACCCCGGAATGGTTAACAACGCGTTCGTTCTCACCGCAGACACCAGCGGTCCGGAGTTTTGCAAATGTGTCAGCATCATTGTGGTTGTATTACACATAATACCCTGCCGTAAAAAATTGTAATAGGCATTAAACGAAATGTTAACATTGCCTTAGAACCCTTTCTTAGTCGACGGATAAAATTGGTCAATAAACTATATATTATCTCTATTTACTTTTATTCAACTCCTTAGCAACTTCCCCATAGAGTTCATTTTTTGATGTTTTCGATTTCTGATGTCGTTTCCCTCTTTGTGATTCTGGCAACAAACAAAACGACCTAGGAGAATAGCCATCATTCAAAGTTTCAACGAAAGTCAACGTTGAAAAGCAGACAGAAATAAGGAACTTTATAAACTTAGGAAAAAAAGACGGAGACACTTTAATAGCTCATGATAAAACACGGAACAGATAATGATAATGAGAAGTGGAGACTAGCGGCCTGGCTAACGCCTCGATGAACGACCAATTTATCCATTGTGAAAACGCAAAAGAATAATGGAATATATCAACGAATACAGGAGATACTGCAGTTAGCGACAGGGTTAGTGAGTGACAAATGGAAGAGAAACGTGGACTTCGCTTAGACCTGGACGTGCCCACGGCCCTCAGTGCATTTGGATGCCGGTGATCTCGACGTCGCCGCCGATCTGCAGACCGTTTAGCTCGTGCGGCTCCAGCCGATGCGCATACGACGCGAATCGCTCGCCGTTCACCATAATCTGGAACGAACCGAGTTCCGAATATTCGATTTCATAATGTCTAATCACCTCCATCTCTAAATGAGGTTTAAAATATATGACACCCGTATCTCTTAGGAAAGCATCACATATATTCGACTTCAATAAGCGTTGTAAAGACGGTAGAAATATACACCTGAGCTACGAGGCACATGTAGCACAGTGGTTAGAGTTGCATTGTAGTACACACTGGATCGGTCGCAGACCCGATCCCACTCCCTGAGCCCACCAAGTCTCTAACCCTTCCAGGATGGGCAAATTAGAAGCAAATTTGCCTGGAGAAAAACACTGACTTGATAATTCATTGCTTCATTGACTAGCAAATATGAGGTGCTCACTTTATTCTCCATTGACAGAAAAGCTGACGTTTATATCGCTTTTTTCAGAGCCTAGAAGGGTCATGTTAACCGTAACCTAGTCAGCCAAACACTTTCATGACCTCAACGGACAACTGCGACACCTAATTTTCAATCGTATTAAATATAAAGCAGCTCCTTTGCACAATCATGGCTCTCCATAAGTCTCACTAAATATTCTGCGGAAAGACCATGTTTCCCTCGAAAACCTTCTATGCAATGTAGGTCAGCGTGTGGAGAAGGTGTCCTATATCAAAAGCGAATGAAAATTAGGTGCCATCGTTTGACTTGTGAGAATGTTTGGGTGACCAGGTTGCGGATAACTTGACCTCTCCAGGCTCTGAAGAAGGCGAAATCCGCCGAAGCGTCAACTTTTCTGTCAGTGGCAACCTCGTATTTCTTCATCAAGAAAACAGTGAGTTATTTGGTCAGAGCCACGGTTAATAGGAAGTGATCTTGAAAAATACTCAGTTGATGCATTGTTTGGCACTGCAAGTCACTGTGCAGTCAAGATATGCATTCAGTTCGAAAGCACGGCGTATCCTTCACAGAATGTCTTTATCTGATCTGGGACTTGTAGAATTCCGCCATGCATCAAGTTATCGTTTTCATCCTCCCAGATAACTCTGATACAAATTTGAAGACTAGGGAGATGGCGAGGATGTTATTCGCAAGGTGCCGCAACGAACTAAAGGCAACATATGTATTGCAAGGTACCTCTAACCACTGCGCTACATGCGCCCCTGATGTTCATATTTCCAATAACATCCAGCAAGACTAACTTCATTAATATTAACAAAACATGATGATAAAAATATGATCGTTTTTTGAGGCTATTTACTTCCACCTAAGAGTATTTAACATATATTTTAACTAACTGCTTAAAAACGCAAGTGAAATGTTTGATTCAAGTTATAAACCTCACAGACTCACCTGGAAGGTGTAATCCTCATTTTTGATCTCAAGATCGAATCCAACAGCCTTCTCGAAGGGCATCTTACCTTCACGTTCCTCATTACCCCATTCATTACTGATGAGCGAGTTACGAACGACAGCCTAAAAATTACGAGCTTAAACATCCCCGGCACTTCTACGTCAGCACAATACCTTCTCGTCAAATCTTGGATTGAAGTGCAATGCAATGTCGCCGTTCTTCTTAAGAATATTAATATGGAATCGCTTTCCCTTCTTTTCCGGCATGCCATAGATAAAAAGGCTTTTGCCAGTGGCAAGGCCTTCTCCAGCCAAGCCACTTTCATAAGGTACAGGCTGAAAGCAAACGAGCGAAACTTGGAAATGGCCACACGTCCATGGATAGCCGGCTTACGTAGTATTTTCCTCCCCAGTGAATGTGAGTGATTAGTACATCCCCGTCAATTGAGAAATGAGTGACTGACGAAAGCGGCAGGCGGTGTTCGTACTCCTTCAGTTCTTTCTGTAACAACTTACATCGAATAATACTTTAAGGATAACAAAACTTTTGATAAAGTAAATCTATGAGTTTCAAGGAAACAATATCACACTTTTAGTTTGAAATATTCCCTTGTCTCCTATATACGATTTACTCTACATTTTAATAAAAGGAATCTCACTCGAAAACGAGCCGATTCCAAAAGGCGCGAAGCAGGTTTTTCAAAAGAATGCTGAAGCAGTTGCGATGACCTTCTGTTCAATATATCGCCTTTTTGTATGCATTCGGCTTAACACGCGTGATAAACCTCTGAAGTACCTTTTGTAGCCCTCAATGAGAACACGTAAATGATTGTAGGACTCCGCTAAGCGCTATAATGTAACCGAAACTCGGTATTAAATCGGTTTTCCACGGCATAAGGAGAGTGCTTTTGAGATTTCAAACAAACTCACTACAGTGAAGATCCCCGTTCTAAGAAGAGATTCAAATTTAATGTCTGCTAGAACACTATGAATGCGTAGATAATCTTCAGTAATCGCGTTTTTCTCCTCAAATCTTTTTCAAATGACACCGATGAACTTGCACGAAAGTGGCAGAAGGAATGGATCATTATCTTATATACAGCGTGGGAGCAGAAGAAATCTGCCAATTTTAGCGATCTGAAAAAGGCACTGCATAGAAAGAACGGCGCTCTGGGAATTCAAGCAAGCATTTTTCTTGGAATGGACGAGTAATCGCACGACCACGGCGTTTTTGCTTTCCGATGGACTCGCGACGCCTTTCAATTCTTTTTGACGGACAATTTGTGTACTTCGTCCCAATCAGGGGATCCAAAATGTCCAATTCTCGTCCCCACTAAACGGAAAACATTTCTGGCGTTCAGCTCCGCAACTGTATGGAAATAACCACAATGATGCTGAGATATTTGCAAAACTCTGGACTGCAGGTGTCTGCGGTGGAAAACGAATCCGCTATTACCGCTTCCACAAACGCCTTCCCACCACACCATGCGGATCCTTCCTTTCGCCTGTCTCTCAACTAGTTTTCTATTGATCAGTGCCTATATGGAAATAAATCACTATGCAATCATACCTGGTCAACAAAGATCTGATATTTGCTATCGTGAGCGCGGATACGAATGTCGATGTCATCGCCTTTCTTGTACGGATTGCTTTTTCTCTCCTCTTTTCCCCACTCTCCCTTTGCAAACGAATTGCAGACGATCTGAAACTCAACTACAATCGCGAATTTTTCTAAAACAAGAATTTTCCTCTTGTTTTCCAAACAGGTTGAAGTCGACGGAGTTTCGAAATCGTTAAATTTGATTGGCCGCGTGCGTACTGTCACTATGGATTTATTACAACACTATTTTCCACGTCGCTTCGCCAGTTTCGTGCCCCACCACTCCACCTCCGATACGGTCTGCTTACACCACAGCTCCATTCTCACCATAGAAAATTAAATGCCACTCTTTTGAAACCATTCAGCTAGCAGCAAAAGACAAACAGTCCTTGAAAACAACTCAAATTTGGCACATTCAACTTAGTTTCTGAACTAACGTTTCCGGTCTCATAAAATGTAAGAGTCCGACTTTGATCAATCCCATAAGGATGCACCGCACAATCGATTCCGTAGAGGTGATTGAATACATATTTGACCCACAAAATGACTTCCGGTGGGTTACTGATCTATTACACATATTTTTACACTCCGAGGTAAATCTGGTGCCGATCCGATTTGTCCAAGGAGCCGGATCGAACTGATGACCACATGTACATTGCATGGCACCTCTACCATTAAGCTATACGCCCTCAATGCATTAAATCAAATAGAGTTCACTGCAATCTGCATATTGTATCCAGCATAATGCACGTTTTCGTTTTCTATCAAAACAAAATCCCGATTCACTAGCGCTTAAAAAAATCTTTATACGCCTTCTTTTGCAGAACTTCTGTTTTGCACCTCTACAGCTTAAGAAATTGAAAAAAATAACCCTAAGGGGTGAGAACTCACCTTTCCCTCGTCGAAGCGCACACTGACATGGAGGGGAACATCGTTTCCAGAGAAATCAGCTGACGCATTGTGCAAATTGATCGTGAAACTGACGAAAGTGGAATTCGTTTATGTCTCCGTATTCTCCGTAAAAGAAAGCAAAGCAGTCATATTTTCCAGCGTTTTCAGATATTTGTTGCACTATCGATTCTAGGACTGGAATTCTTTGGATAGAATGGACGTCTTTCATGGGTAGACAGTTGCATTTTCATAATTCGTAGCCCATTGGGAAATATTAGTGCTACAACGAGAACCAAAGAGGACTGAAGAGGTCGTGTGAAAAATCCTTAGCTACAGTAATCGAGAATTTTAAAATAAAATTTTTTGAATTTTATAGAAGCTGACAGAAAGTTTACACAAGAAATTGAAAGAACTAAATAGAAGTGGCAGAAGCTGGCTGGACGGTTTTACTCGAAATTTCAGTATGGTACGTTAAATGCCACTGTAGCCTACAAACTTAGAAGAGCAATCTGCGAGAAATTTAGCGATTTCTAAAGTGTCACATCCGTTTTGATTCCTTTAAATTAACCAGTTCTCGTCAACTCGCGTTTTTTCACCGACATCAATTCCATGTAATATTCTATAGTAAAATAACACGCCTTCAAATGAAATATTCCACTTCAAGGATTTCAGAGGCAATTCATTTTACTGAAAATATCTGAGAACTGAAACTCTACGAGTACCTTTTCATTTTTCCTATTAGCATTTACAGTGGTTAGTATCCCAGGGGTTAAGGAGTCCTTGAATCTTTTTCAGTCTAGCAATAATCTTTGCAAGGCTAAGGATTGTTTGCATGTTTCCAGCGTTCATTTCCCCGGAAGGCTCTATCAGTGCTACACACAACTGACCAACGTTGGCATTAATGCCCACTTTACTGTTTAAACAAAATGATGCGTTGTAAAGCGGCTGATTTTGCTTCGTAATCGCCCACAGCGACATTCACACCGACACGCAGCGGTGTAGGCGATACCGGTTCAGCCATCACTATCTCTCCTAACGCACATTCCACAAATTCATCACACTAATGTATACGGACCAGCCCACTAAGACCGGTCACCGTATATAGTAATAGTTGTCACTAAGTCTAAATCACTCTGGAAGGTGGTACTGTCCGAACAACTCACCGAACCGAATCCTCGCCAGTCTTTCCCTTAACTGTGAGCGTCTGCCCGGGCTCAAACGGTTCGGTCAACTTGCTCCGGTAGGGAATTGGCTGAAAAATTATCACATACAAAGCGAAACCGACGGCGAATACGAGATGAGATGACTAGGAAAAGCGCGCGTTGGTGGCATGGCATGTGATCGATCTATGCGTACTCCAAATCTGGCAGAAGCAAAAACATCAACGCTGCTAGCTGAAAGTCTGTAGGAACACTCACGTAGTTAGTCTCGTACGCCATCACAGTCCTTGTCTGCTACCTGAAAAAAAAAAGTAGAAAAACAGAATGGACGCAAAGCTGAAATGCTTCGGACTTTTTCGAATCCGGCAGTGATAAACACAACACTTTCAGATGCAAACAGAAGAATGACGAGTGGTGAGGCCAAACATCGAAAATAGATGTCCAACCATATGAATCCAGCAATGCGGTACAAATACTGCTGGGTTCTCTGATTGTAGATGTGCCTATAGATGCTCTATGAAAAAAGCACCAAGTAATCAAACGGTTCGAGGGCTTGAAAAGAATGATGAAAACAAAAAGCCATGAAATATTGCGACGAAATTCGATGTCGAGATGATATTACATCGTCGGTTATGTTTTACTCTGAGGCGGGCAAAGGGGTGGAGCCGATTGATTGTCGGTAAACAAAGGCGAGAGGAGAATGGTGATTATCGTTGAAAACTGTGGGCATCGTGTAAACAACTCTCTTCTTAATGAAATTGGATCCAGCCTCCCTCAGAATAATTCTTGGATTGGCATCTCTACGAAAACTCAACGAAAAGGAGAAAGTCTTGAAAATAAAAGATGTGAGTCATCAGCGAAATAGCGGGGGAGCAAAGAAAGTGAAAAAAATCAGTGGGTAATTCGAAGGAAAGACGAGAGTAGACCGATCGTGTGAGTTGAATAAGAAGATGTGAGAACTAGGCGATAAATGGTAGTCGCTCGTATCGCCACTAAGTGTATATAAATGAGAGAAAGACGAAGAAAGGGAGAGAGAGAGAGATGAAGGGTAGGCAGCACCTCTACGGCTTTCTGGTTCGACGGTTTCATTCGCACGTTGCCCCGGAAGCACGGGCAACCAGAAGAGTCCATTAGAAAAACAGAAAGGGTGTTATGACGGTGCAGCTTAGAAAGATTGGTTCCCAACAATGAGAGTCATAATTTTCATTGTGTCATAATCCTTTCAACATACTGGTGACTTTTTCGTAAGCTTGTGTGGCAGAGAAATAACAGAATCTAAACGAAATAATGCCACATGTTACTGCCATAATAATATTACTCTTGTCAAGAGTGGTCTGGCGACTTCACTTCAACTCTTCGCTGTTTTTTCGGACACTAAGGGAATTCTATTCTTATAACTTTGAACAAAAAACTGCGAGCCACAACTATGATTCGCCACACCAGCATGCAGAGTCATTTCTCTAATGAGCACCAAATTATAACCAGCTACCTAGGCTTATGAAAAAAAGGCATATCTAATTCATTTAAAGGAAGGGCAAAAGTGTTGCGAAAGACAAGATAAAGAGAAGTGAGGCTATGTTTGTAAGCTGCGCATAAGTTTTGGTCAGGTTTTCTTCATGATATTTTGGTATCCTCTTCGTTGAATACGGGTTTCTTTAACGTTATTGTCAGCGATGAAGGAGTGGGAAGAAATCACTGAGATTTTTTAAAAATAAGAATTCATGGATAGGAGACGAGGAAGCGTGGAGAAGATTTCACAAACTTTGCTGCTAGAGCTGAGGATACCAGTTTACTACTAATCCTCAAAGACAAACGGAAAATTCAATTTCAAGCCAAACATTAAGTTTCCATGGTCGTAGCCGAAGTTGTCATGTGGCCACGGACGAAAATTAATCATAGGAAATGAATGTGTACCACAAGGGATTGAAGGCGGACAGACCTCTTATTGAAAAAGTCAGCTCACCCTTCCACAATAAACTGCCGTTCGAACTTCCTTAAATCTCTTCGCTATAAATTGCCCCACAAAATCCAATAAACGTCATATGAGATAACTCGAACCGAACGCAAAATTCTTTCTTGGCAATATTAAGTTTAAAATTAAAACTATATCACGATTTGAATGATTCTTCGATGTGAATGTGAGAAATCAAAACATGATAATAGAACATGTGTACGAAAGAACATTGTGAAGCGGTATGATTTCCGCTCCTGAGCAAAAAAAGTGTAGACAGGATGGGTGACCGGACACTTGCGAGCGAAAGCAGATGGTGTACTGACGGCACTCGTGGTGGTGCCCAAGGGTGTCAGTCGGCGCCGGAGGTGGAAACGGCAAAAGCAGCGGATGCAGCAGTGGTATTCCATCTGTGTGTGTATTTGTATGTTGTGTGTGTGCTTGTGTTTGTGTGTGTTCATGTGTGTATGTGCATATGTTTGTGTGTATGTGTATGTGTATGTTTATATGTGTATGTGTGTGTATGTGTGTGTATGTGTATGTATGTATATGTGTATGTGTGTATGTGTATGTGTATGTGTGTATGTGTATGTGTATGTGTATATGTGTATGTGTATGTGTATGTGTATGTGTATGTATGTATGTGTGTATGCATGTATGTATGTATGTATCTATGTGTTAATGAATGTATATTGTCTTGTGTAATGTTGGGTGAATGGAATGGAGACACGCGTGTCGAAGAAATTCGAGCGGAAGTAGACTTACACATCGCAAAATCGACACTCCCCCGCTGCACGCCTCTGCAGAAAGAGACCTATTCCTCGAGGTGGAAAAATCCTATTTGCTCATCTTGGCAACTCCATATAAACATCTATTACTATGAAGAATCATAGCCCTAGTGATGTTCTTGAAGATCTCCTAAGATGCTAACCCAGAGCGCTTTAAAAGGTGCAAGTTGCCTGAAACGTTCAGTTACCGTTCCTTGTCTTGCTATTGAAAAATGGTTGCTATAATATTTTCCACTCTGTGGATCAGAAACGTAGGGATCGGCAGCATTATACTTAATGAGGTCCGTGCTCACGTAACTTGAAAACAAGTCGTTGTTTGAAAATCACCTTCATTAACTTGAAATTAAACAACTTTCATTGGGGTACAATAGAAAGCACTCTAATCCCAAAGTAGCTGACGCAGCTTCCACCGGCTCAATCTTATAAAAAGGTACAAAAAAGAGTCGGTTCAGTTGAAGTCGTCCAGAAAAACAGTATTTTTCAGCGTTCGTCATTGTTGTGCTATGGATTATTATAACATTAAATTAAAATAGGAAAAGAAAACAAAATAGTACATCCATGAGCTTGTCGTTTGACGGCGGAAGGTCAGCCACATCACCAGCTCTGAGTTTGTATTCATAGTCGGAGCCAATACCTCATAAATAGCATTGCATAACCTATCATATTTTTTGTTCGAAGAGAAGAAAATGAAAATGACTTCTTTTCTTTGAAAACCTGAGCGACAACCCAAAATTACTTCTCCATGTTTGACATGAATTCTTTTTTTTCAAAGATCTATTGGTCTAGACACAAGCAGTTAGTAGTTCATCAGTATGGAAAGTCTTTTAAAGAAAAAAAGAAAAAAAGAAAAGTGAATTTGAAAGATGGAAAAAAACATGTTTGTAAACGAGGTTTAATGAAAGGCATTATTAAAATTGTGTGAGATGGAAGCTTAGACAGTACAAATAGGTAGCAACGTTAGTAGTTTTCTACTGAGCATTCGTAAACCTTAAAAAGTAAGTTTTTACTTTCCATCTGAGTGCCAACATTTCCATTTGCAGCATTCTAGAACAGAGCTTTTGGAGATTCCCAAATACAGCTATCATCACTTAAGCTACGCTGGGCTAGCGAGACAGTACTAGTGGCCGACTCGTCGAGCGTGATGGATTCTATGCTGGTTTCTTCGAAGTGGGAGACTTCTGATAGCGGCCAGTAGGCGAGTGGAGGGAGGAGGCCAAACGGCATGTCACTTGCCGGCCGACGAGCAGCAGCGCGATCGAATCGGCGCCGAATCGAAGCGTCAACATGCACAAAGCCTTCATCTGTCTTCTGGATGGAGTTCGAAGCACTCCCAATGCAGTCCACATTGTCAAGCGTGTTACTGTGAAAAAATAGGGCTCAGAAAAAACGGAGGCGTCGGAAAGTAAGCCTAATAAAACATCTATAACAACCTCGTGTTAGCTTAGTAACATAAAAAGATAATTTCCAGTTTTTATAGAGCCGCGTTTGTACTTAGTGGCTTTTTTGTGGTACAAAAGTTCTCCATGTCTTCTGTGGACATCAAATATCGATGAAATCAAAGCATCTACACCATATTACGAAGCCCTCAGTGCGCTTTTACCATGAAATTATCAGTATGCATCTATTTTAATGCATGCATACCTAAAAAATCTAGATTTTGCTATCCACTAGTTAAAATTTGGACTGTAAATATATTTAAGACCGGAATAATATCCCATAGAAAATTATCGATGCCACTAAGGGGATACGGAAAAGCCACCTCTGCAAATACATGAAGTTCGGAACTCTCTAAGTGCGCAGGTCATTATTTGCAGGATTTAGTCAATTATCATTAGAAACTGCCCCAAAAATAACTTCGGCCTTAAAACTGACAAGGAGAGGACACCTTATGCGTGACAGCTCAATCACGGATTTTCGAAAAAAAGCGGCGCAGAAAGAAAGGAGTAGACATAGAGGATAGCTGGAAGGTGGAACAACAACGGTCATTGCGATGAAGTCATGTATTCGTCAAGCAATATTATTGAAAATCCTAAAGCTGTATCTTCTTCGAGAGCTCCTTCATAATTAAAAGACGATAAGTAGAGGTAGATGAAATAAAGGATAAAATTCTCGAAGCTGATCAATCTCTAAGGGATTGCCTATGCATTCGGTTTGATTAAGCGTCGTTAAAGGTGATTGGATGCACACTTGGCGTGTTCATGACTTGCACTGGGCTACCTATGCACCACTTTAGTGCTGCTAACCTCGCAGGAATGTCTGGTACCAATTTGCTGTCCCCAGAGGGAAGCAAGGCATGATGAGCTGTGGGCGTGGGCTCAAACAAAGGACCGCGTATATATTACAGGCCACCTCTAACCACTGCTCTACACGCGAAATGGAAACAGGAGGCCAATATTTCTTCAATTGTGTAGAAATCCCTTCCCCTCCATAAGTCATTGGTCTCTGAGAACTTTATTAGAGTGAAAAAGTGCATCAATCTTGATGCGATTTAGGACAGAAACATTGAATCTATGTGCCGACGACGAGGACCTCTGGAAAATGAACTGCTACAATCTCACTAACTGAGAAATTAAGCACCACACAGAGGGCCTACTACTGGAAGTAAAAATGGGTGCTAGAAAAAGCATAACAAGTATTTCCCATCAGTTTCATTTTCTCTAAGTTTCTTCCGTTAATCTTAGCTACACTTAAATTCCGACACATAAAGTGCACCTCACGGA